ACACACACACACACACACACACACACACACACACACACACACATAAGGACAGAAAGTTGTCAAATGCACAGTGACACTCAGACTAACAGAACTGACCTTAAAGCTCCAGTAGTTGGGTTGTTGCTGCAGAGTTTGGTGAAGGACAAATAAGGGAAAGGAAGGAGACATACAGAAAAAGTTAATCCTTTAATATTGCTTTAGCTTTTACTGATTAAAAAAATAAGCTACGACAGAAAAAAAAAACAGTACATGAACTGCAGAGAGGAGTTAAACTGCAGGCAACCTTTAAATACATTGGTTGCAACACAAATGTTATTCTATCTGACTCTTTGGGATGCTTTTTTTTAAACCATTATGCTACAGAAAGTTTTGTGTGTTTAAGCCTGAGCATTGATTGGTTGATAATGGAGGGAGTGTTTTTCAGACACCAGGCACCTGAAACAAGATTGTACCATTTGAAATGAAATGAGTGAAATCAAATCAAACAGCAGCCGCTCTTGTTCTTGCACTCTGTTGTTGCAACGTTTGGCTTCCCTCCCAGACTTCACCACGGGGCAAACAAGCACTTCATGCTCTCTCCTGCTTCTTCCATTCTTCATCCACCTGCAGCACTCTTTTTATCTCTAAAACCTCGCCGCCTCATTTTGCAGCAGCACAACCCYTATCTGGCATCTACTCATTTGCCCTTCCTGCTGCTGGCATGTAAAAAAAAAAGAAAAAAAGAAAAAGGTGCTCACATGCTGGCAGATGCCCCAAGAAATGAGCTTTCAAATAATCCATAATTACCTGACAGTTAAAACCAGGTCAAGCCACCAATGGCTCCAGACATATCTCAGAATGACATGCAATATTAGTTTGAGCAGAGTTCATGAAAGTGAATTGTTAGAATTGAATTGTAATCCTTATTCTAGTCCTTACTGTTATCTGCAGGCAATTTTCACTCCATTCAGCCTCTCTTCTGCAGAGCCCACATTACCCCGACTCAGGGTTAATAAAAAAGTGGCAAGCAAGTTTTGACTTATGGTAGTGGGTAAAGTTTTTTTAATTATTATTTGTCTTCAATTTTAARAGAGTTCTTTTAAAGACCTAGCTTGCCCCCATGAACACAGTCAAATGTTTTTTTGATGATTCGTACCGTACAGTAATCTAAACTATCTCTTTATGCTCTTTCATTACACCATAATATGGCCGTATCATATTGATGCTTCGCTCATTTTTATAACAGTGAAGCAAAATTATTATGGGTCTTAAAGGAAGTTGAGGAAAAAAGGAGGTACCAACTTCTGGATCAAAACAGAAACCAGATGGGGCTGTCTCAGTAACGTAAAAAAAATAATATATCTGTCATAATTAGAAATAAAAGCAGAAATATATAAATTAACCAATAAATAAATAAATACATATAAATTGACCAATTAAATTTAAAAAGGAGAACTTTACCTCATGTTTTTTTGTAATTTAATTGAACTTCATTTTTATTTTCCAGCTTAGTTCCAGTAAATTATATATTTTAGCACATAATTTACATTGTAATTGTATTTTAAAAATATATGTTCTTTGTTTTACTTTTTTCTTGTACATGCATGTGTCTCCTAAATGTTTATATTTCATAWATATTTTTTGAATTTTAGAATTTTAGTTTAGTCTAAAATAAAGGCACAGAGGAAAACACTGACCTGTGCCTTTATTTTAAACTGAACTTTAAACTTAAAGCTYAACAGAGGCAGCACAAGCATGAACAGTCGATCTGCACATGGATCCTGCTCCTTCCTGTCTGTTGACCAATAGGAGAGGAGCTGACCCAAGAAGGATTTTAAGTGTATTTATTTATTTATTGGTCCGTATATAATATATATCTGCTTTTATTTCTAAGTATGACAGTTTCAGTCCTCCATAGATTTTACTTAAGAAACTTAAACTGAGCACAGCTCAGAATGGGCGCTGTTTATCTTTGTTTTTTTTTTTTTGTTTTGATTTTTTTTTTGTTTTTTTGAGTGAGCAATTTCTTTTGAGTGAGCAAATGCTGTAATTTGATATTTTTAGGACAAACTTCAGCTACTTAATGCAGGAAAAAGTTGCACCATTTCCCCCTGACGGTGTGCTATTGTCTGCTGTGTTCTTGTACACCCAGTTCTCCATGCGCCACACAGGAGTAGGAGGTCCAGATCTTTGGAGTGATCTTGACTCACTTCATCGTGAAGTGAGTCCAAACTTTATATGCAAGAGGGAAAGAGAAGACACTAAGCTAAAACTTAGGGGAAAATTCTGAGTGTACTTTATCTAACTTTCCTCTCTGACCATTTTTACAAAAAAAAATGTGGCTGAAAACAACGGCACAGATGTGTTGCATTAATGGGGATTTTTTTTTATTATTACTTTTTCTCCAATAAATTGAGAATCAACCTCACATTGCTTTTAAGTGAGGATGACTTTAATGGACCACTTATCAGTCAAACTTTAAAATTTATTTCATTTTGAAAACAAAAGCTTTAAAATATGCATATGAGAGCAAATTTCTTGTAKATTTGTATAAAGTTTAAGGAGCAAAACAATGGCTGCAGAGAGCAACTTAAATGACATTATTTAGTAATAAAAACACGTCCAGCAGACAGATGTTTTATTCTTGCTAAGAAATCTGAAGTTAACAGTTTATTTCAATGATTTATTTTTACACAAATGAACCTCACTGCAGGGAATCCTCTACAAAAGGTGAATTCTCCCAACGAGAAATGCATTTTATAACAAAAACCAAAAGATGCTGTGAAGAACACCATGTTTCTATTCAAGTACAGAATTGTGTTTTGGTTGTTTTTCATGCTGTCAGCTGTATATTGCATGTATTCTAACAAATCCATAATAATGACAAATAAGTGAAAACCAAAAAAAAATAAATAAAATGCAACAAGGCATGAAAAAGAACCAAATAAGAAAACGCTGCCAGCGTGCACGCTCACTCGTCAATTCTCAGGGGCAGATGTTTTTTTTTTTTTACACGTATTACAGTCACATATGGTAAAAAAAAGTACTGATTACCTGGGAACCAGACGAGGAAAAACTCGCAAATAAGTCAGAACTTAATGTTAGGAATGCTGGGGACATTTGGGTTATTGTAAGCAGGCCCATGGAGACACATTTAGAAATTTCATTTGGGCAGTTGCCTTTGTGAAAAACACAACAGTAAATGTTTTTCTGCTCAGACGGGTTCCAGGAAGCAAAAAAAAAAAAAACGCATTTAAAGTAAATTGATCACCTTTTTATTTTGTGCACATTGCAGGACAAAAGTACCAGGGTTTAATATTTATCCTCTCACTGGAAGCAAATAAAATAAAAGAATAGAACTTGAGTTTGATACAACATAAACAGGGAAGTTAAATATATACTAATTAAATACTAACTACTTGGTTTTTGTCTAGGTGATTCTGAAATGTTTTGACAATCAGTTTTGAGTGATTACCTACATTTATAATTAAATTGTGACACTGTTTAAACACGTGTTTCAAAATGCACACAACACATTTGTTTGTGATCATAAGATATAGACTATTTGTTGAAGAGTCTGGCTCTCCCCGTCAGGGAGAATGACCCAATCATGTCATGTCTAGCAGTAAGGCGGAGCTAGACTCTGCATTTCCTGTTCTCGTGGTCAAACCTACAACCAGCTGAATAAATGGTTGAGGCCTTTGGGTATTGTATGGCATTATTTCTTACATTTAACAGTCAAGTCTTAATTCTGTGTTTGTTCCCTTCTCCTCGAAGTACACTGAAGATGAACATGGCAATATCTTTACAATAATACAAACARCATGAATAGAACACAGTTGGAACCGCAGCGGTTTGGAAACCTTCAGCAAATAAATCTTCCTAAAAGAGGGGAAAATGTGACTACAAATACCTGTTGTGTATTTCTTATTTGTGGCACAACAACGTCAGCAGCACAGTCTGAGACCAAGATTTGTATTTGTACTGAGTTGTATATCTTTTGAAAGCTGGGAACAAAAAAAATCTGTTTTTGTTGCTGTATACATTCACTAAAAGTGTGGGTTTATAATACAGTTTGACTGTGTGATGGTAATAGTAAAGACTGAGCTCATGGTGGAATTTATAACTCAACAAACTACAACAATAGGTGATAATAGTGCACATTTCTTCATTAAATAATGTTTTGATGATGTTGAAATAAAATGTTCCCTATATCTTTTTAAAAAAATCCATTCACTCCCACAGTAAAAATGTTACCACTTTCCTCCACCTGCACGATAAAACAAGTATATAAATTACTCCAGAGCATAATCTCAATATGATTCAAGTCCTCTTAAAGCATAAAAATTACTCCTGAAATATATTAAAGTAGTTTTCAGCAAAGGTAAGTGTTTACTGTTTTAGGCTGTTTTTTTGTTTTCTTAGCTTTGCTGTGTTTTTCAGGTTTTTTATTGGAGCAAAGCACTGAAATGATAAGTATTTGTAACCTCTGAAGAATCAGTGGGCGATCACTTGTTTTTTAACAATCATGGGGGAGATGAGAAGCTGCTAATTACCTGCACATTAAAGAGGTCATTTGTTCAGGGACGAGCTAATCACAAAGCCTTTTTTCAGGTTGGACATGAACTGCCTTGGCCCGAACATGAACCAGTTGTGCGCTCAGCGTAGCCGGTGAGTTTCATCACCGGAACCCGATCCAGCTGACATGAACTCAGGGGCACCACTAGTGCGGTGCACATAATTGCTGTTTACTTGTTCAGACAATGTTAATGATTTAATTTTTTTTTCTTTTCCTTGTCTCAGGAGTGGCTTTAATGGCGCAGAAGCGATTTGCGGTCTTGTGCGTCTGTCTTTGCCAATGTTTGCTGCATAAATAAGGCTCTCAGTAAGGTAAACACATTCAATCCTTTTTAACTGTTATTCTGCTGACAGCAGCAGATAAAGCAAGCTTGGACTTTGAGTCACAAATACTGCACTTTGGGTGTGAGGGCTCATTTGAATTGAAGTCGTTACACACTAGCTGTTCTCTGTCCCTTCTTGTAACTGTTACTGCAATTAAAGGGGCAATATTATGTGTTTCTCAGGCATACATTTAAATACTATACCATAATAAAGTATCTATTTCACCTTTAGTTGTTATTAAA